ATCTATTTCATCTCTCTTTCAGTTGGACCCGGATTGAAACTCTTATTCTTAATCGCTATAGAGAAGTTTTGTAATTATTCTTGCTATATTAACTATAAATTTACAGTTCAGTTTTTGCAAAAAAAATGGTACAGATGATCGTCGGGAAGAGTTGAAAGAAAAAAATTGATATTTTTAAACTTTTAATTTCAAAATAAAATATAATTATATAATATACATACATGTATGTTAATAATTTTCAAAAAAACTATTTTTACAATAATAAAATAGTTTCATCAATATACTTGTTTGACAAAATCTTGGTAAATAACAAAACTCTTGCAGATTAATAAAATTTTTAACAAATTAAATTAACTAATAAAATATTATAATATCGTTAATTATCCTTTAATAAGCTTCTTTGTAACAATCATTGAATACTAAATATTAATTTTTTTTTAAAATTATATTTAAAACTTTGCAGTCAATTTGAAAACACTATAATTTTTAATTAATAATAAACTTTTTCTTACCAAATCATAAAATCTTTAACAATTCTACTAATAAAATAAGATTTTTTTTCGATAAGCTTCTTTATAATAAACTTTAAATATACTGAATCCTTAATTGTTTTTAATTTAATATTATTTCATTATAACAAATTTTATTTTATTAGTCTTCTTTATTGTATTAATATAAAAAATTAAAAATTAAGTAGATAAAATAATATTATATATACTGATTTATTTATTTTATGAAAAAAAATAATGAACTGTATACTTTATCAACTATTATTCATTATAAATTTTATTATTTGTCAATTCAGTATTCAGAAATTGTTTGATAAAATATTTCTATTATTAATATATATACATATTAAATTTTAAGATAAAAAATTTCTGATAATCAAAAAGCATAATTAATATTAAAAATTAATCTTTGCAATTATTATATAACTTATTTTATCTAATAAAATTGCAATATTTTTATTAATAAAATTGCAAAAAAAAAACAAATTATAAAATTTCTTGCAATCTTCGTTTCATATCAGGAGTATTAAAATAGTTAAACAGCTCCAATGTTTGATTATTAACAGTTAATAAACCTAATTTCTCATCAAATGATGCAAAATTACCTTCTCCAAGATAATAGATAAAAGAAGAAGGTGAAAAATGTATAAAAATTGTATAATCAATATTTGAAATTGAAGAAAACAAACCATAACGAAGTTGAAAAAAAACTTTTACAGAAATATATGAAAGTTCATCAATATTTGTATGTAACTCAATAAAAGAATGATAACTTGAATTTTTATAGTAAAGTGCAAGAATTTGAAAGAGAAAAATAGTATTATTAACTCGTCCAATTCCAAATCCTCCTTGTATAACTGGGTGCACCAGATTTATATTTGCAGTTGAAATTTTTACCAATCTTGTAATAAAAAGAATAAAAAGGCATGAAGTTAGAATTTAAATAAATAAAGAACTAGAAATTTAATTTCATTGTTAAAATTAAATATATAACTGATCAGTCAAATAATCATATATACACTTAAGCAGTTAAAAGTAGAAATGAGGAAATTATCATACAAGAATGATATAAATACTATTCAATACCTTCAGTTTATTCTAATAGTTCTAATGCCATCTCTGTAGTAGAATTCAAGATCATATATTACCAGTATATTACCTCTAGTAGATTTTAAATACTACTTAAAAGCTTTCTTTTCATCGTTATACATTGCTCATGAGAATTATCAATATCTTCTTTAATTTTTTATCATATATGCCTTTCATAACTGAATTCAAATTATATTGTCTATTCACCAAATAAACCCGAAATAATAATTTCTTTTTTTGAATTATCTTTAAGAATTTATTAGTGTTGCCGAAAGTGACAAATCAAAAAAAAAGAAAAAAATAAGAGATAAGAGCTATTGTATTCAGCAAATTTCAATAATACTAAAATGTTATCTTTTCATCTTTAGCAATATCCATATAATAATAATAGCAGGACATATGATCACAATGTCTACTGGAATCGCTATCTTTAACAATTTTAAAAAATAATTCTAAATAACACTAGTCGAAATTAAAAAATTCGACATTTTGAATAGCACAATTCGAATGCTATTCAACATATCTTTTGACTTATTATTCAATATTATTACATAATTTTACGGGCATGCATGTCCGCTAAATTATGTAATAGTTCAAATGACAAATCAAAAAGCATGTTAAATAGTATTCGAATTATACTATTTGACATGTCGAATTTTTAATTTCGACTAGTATAATTTCATAGTTTCTACTTTTAACTGCCTGTTTACTCGATCTAATTAACAAAATTGCCTAATAATATGTTTTATACACTTTTTTTTGATTAACACATTCTAATTCAGAGTTAATAAATTAAACTTACTAACTGAACTTCTTGTTTCATCATTCAATCGTTCAAGTCTTGCTCTCAATTTCTATCGATTTTGACGCAGAATACCAGGGCGAGCAAACTTATTTGAGGAGAGATATAAAATAAGGCTGCTATACCTATTATTTGGGGTGGATGTAGAAAATTCTGCAACTTTTCTCTCCATTCTCTGACTAGTATAGGCTTCATGGTGACAGTATTGGATGACTAATACAGAAATTTTAAGTATTCCATTTGCAACTCCAGTGTTAATATCAATATCTATTTCTAAATTATGATTCTGAAATAGTCGAGTAAAATCAAATATTAAAGCTAATTGCGAACATCTTTCAGAGAAATCATCCCCATCCTCAATTTAAAAAATTAAATATGATTGAGAAAGAAAATAAAGAGAATTAAGGAGTTTCAGAACTAAAACAAGAATTCTGATTTAAATTTTTTTTTTGATTTCATTAATTTACTTGCTTTAGCCCTACTTATTACACAAAGTATGCCACTTTTTAATCCTCTTATTTAATATATAAAACTAATAATTTCAATATAAATGCATAATATCTAAAACATAATCCTTACTTCGGTTAATTCGTTAAGCTTATCCCATGTATTAACTTCTGCAGCAGCAGCAGATATAAAAATGCTTTCAGTCTCTTGTAAACTATCGACTCTTTGTAGGTTAGCAGGTTGTTCAATTTCATTTTCTACTTCGAAATCCTCTTTCTCATCTTCTGAAATAGTCACAAAGTTACGAATTTGGGTATTTATTACCATTTCAAGAACGTCTTTAGCTAATGCGGTAGCTTGTTCATATGCATAGTAGATTGCTAATCTAATCTTATTATCTGAAGGCCAATTCCTTAAGACTTCTAAGTTTTCTACAATACTTGAATCTGAATAATGCGAAATATAACCTAAAAAATATAAGATCAGTTTTTTTAACTTTATAAACATGATTTTATAATAAATTACACCTATATATACTAATCAACACCAGTCATTTTTTCTCTTTCTGATCTGAGAGAACCTGAAGAATATGCTTTGTACATACACGTAATCTTGGGTATTAATGCAACTAAGTCGTTAAATGAAAAATCAGAAAGTAACTGACGAGCCAATCTGAAAAAATGTTCACACCTTTCTGAACCATACAACCAGAGTGTAAAAGGATATTGTGAATAGTAATCTCAGTAAGCAATTGTTAAAAGGATCTAGGATAAAAAATTATATGATGACTAGTTTATAACTACTAATTTATTAATAGATTTACATACCATAGATTCGGAAATACTTGTTAAAATGTTAAATGTTACTGAAGCTATAAAATTTTTTTTAATGCTCATAAATTCAGGATAATTCTGTGCGTAAACTTGAATATGATTTTTCCAATGATTTAAAAAAAAGAATCTTAACATGACTATTTTGCATCTTTCAAGTGGTGAAATTTCACGATTCTGAAATGCGTCAATTAGTTCACCTATAATAAAAATAATTTATTAGACAATATATAAAAATTAATTAAACCTTTTAAATTGAAATAACTAACCAAGAACAAATAAAAAACATATAGACTATATTTTTTATTATTTAAATGATTGTTTTCATCGATAACTTGATTAAGAAATGATAAACAAAAAAGTCAATAAGCAGCTCCGTCATCCTGATGATCAACATTTTCAATATCCTTTTTATACAAAATACTTTCTGGGTTTTTTCTTAATTCCAGAATTTGATCATATCGAGCTGAATATTTTCCAAGAAATAATAGCTGTGCTCTAGAAAAAAGTGTATTGCGACAATTCTTCTTCCTATGTAAAGGATCAGTAATTTGAATAATAGGTCTAATGTTAGGATAAATAGAACAACTAAAATCAATATCTAAAAATAATTTTAAAATAAATTTAGCTAAAATAATTAATAATATTAAGGCTATTTAATATTTAATATACCGTAAAGTCTATCTTTGAAAATTAGTCTTTCTGATGTTTCCATCTTCATAAGTTGATTTTGTGTGTTGAACTCTGCTGAAGCACTATCAGCACCAAATCCAAGAATTTTAAGTTGAAGATATGCTGCGATATCAAGTAATTTTTTATATAATTCAAAAATACTTGTTACTGTTTCTTTTCCCTGATTTGCAATCATCGCAATAATGCAAGGTGGAAATTTTGGAACAGGAATTTATAATAAATAAATAGTTAGACATATTTTATATATAAACTATTAATGAATATAATATTTACCTGTAATAAATAAACACGGACTTGAGAAGCAATTGCATTATGAGATTTAATTATGTCTACAATTCGATATATATCTTCATATATGGAAACTCTAGTTAATTCTGTTGAAAGTATTGAACCAACAACATAACCAAGAAGTGAAGAAAATCCAAGTTTTTCTTTAATTTTAGTATTATCTGACATTGCAATAATCGGACCAGTATATTTAATTGTATCTACAAGCCTTTTAACTTGTACTACATTTTCAAAACATAACTCAGGGTCATGAAGCACATAAGGTGAATGTGTACGATATAACCTTAAAAAGAGTTAATATAATTTTTGTTAAAATTATAATTTTTTTTTTATACTTAGGCGATCTTGCCCTTCATTTTATTAAGAGATATACTAAATAAGTACAAAGACAAATACA